CAGCATGGCCCATGCCCATGGCCTTAAGGCAATGAGAGGGCGCAGCGGGCGCAGCGGGCGAAGATGTCTAAGAGGTCGATGCCCTGCCTCTGCTTAGCCCTCTGCCAGCCTCGGCGACTTCAGCGACCGACCCGCCAATGACAGCCTCCCCCTCACTGCCCGCTACGCCGTCGCGGTCACACAGAAGCCTGTTCAGCCTAAGCTGACGCTTCAAGAGGTTCACCTCAGATGCTCTTAAGAAGTCTTCCAGGAGCCCTGCTGCGACCTCTGCGGTTTTTTTTGATGAGCTTCCGTCGCCATACCCATTTTGGCTCCATTCATATCCTGGGTCCGGTGACCGGCACATGAGCTCGCATGAAATGCTTGATGCAGCTCTGCTTGGCGCAACTGCGGGCCGCGGGCCCTGCGGGCTGGCTTGGAGTTGTGCCAGCTGCTCCCATCGGCACCGCCGCAAGCCGCAAGCCACAAGCCCGGCGGCCTGCGTAACGCTGGGCGCGTTGCAATAATCCCAGTGAGGCGGCTGAGTCGAGGCACGGGAGGCACGGGAGCTCCTTGCGCGTAGTGGCGTAGTGGCATAGCGGTCTCTTCGTTTACGGTTTTGGGAGGTTCTTAAAGCAGGCTCTGTGAGGGTCCCGTTGCCTTTGCTCCTGTGTCGGACCGCCTTCGATTAATATCAGAAGATGCGTGTTCCGAACATTCCCAATGGCCACCTTGCAGATGTTGCAGATAGGCCGTATCCTGCATCCTCAAGAAAAGGGGCATCCTATTGTGGCCGAGCCTTTCCCCTGATTTAGTTGAAGCTTCCTGGGTGGCCGGGGGGTTCCCGGGTTGCTCCTGCAGGAGCAGGAGTTGAAAAGGAGGGGTCAGCTTTGACCAGGCTTCAGCCACGCAAGGTCTGAGAGATGCTGTAAGCATCTCGAAGTGTCAGAAGTTTCAACTTCCTGCGTTTCCTGCCCTGCCTTCCTGTGTTTTTTTTTGCAGCCTTGCCTCACTTGCTTCACTATGACTTCAGTATGAGGTGCCTCGGGGGTCCACAGCCATCCAAACACCGCACAAGTCTTTGCTGCAGAACTTGCACATTTCCCGGGGATGCAGCACAGCTTGCCCGGCTTACCAGTTGAGAGGCTGAAAGCTGCGACTTTCCCGAAAGACCTTATAGACCTGTTGCGACGGGGCATTCTGAAAGACAATAATATGCTGAAAAAAACTGTGTAGGACTCCATAGAGGGTGGACCGTAGAACTCCGTAGGACACTGTCAGCCTGATGGCCAACTCGCTAGCGGTGCCAGCGGTGCCTGCGGTTTAGCACTTCCTCTGACTGCTCCCGCCAATGGGCGGCGGTCGGCAAGTGTTTGAAGTGTTTGCGCTTTCATCACAGGTTCCGTGCAGCAAAGGCGAGACCGTGAGGTCCATGAGTTCGTGACGCGCTGATCGTCACCCGGCAAAATGTTCCTTGGAGCTCGCAGTAAAAGCGCAGCTTTCTTGGAGGGGCAGCGCAAAAAGCCTGCCTGCCGGCAGACCCCATCTGGCCCTATCTCTGAGGGTGACAGAGGCAGAGGTGACAGCAAGCGAGGCGCGTAGGCGGCCCGGCGCAGGCAAAGTAAAGTGAGGCGCTGAGGCCCTGAGGCTAAGCAGTCAAGCGGGCTAAGGCGGCTTAGGGGGGTGAGCACGGTGAGCACCAAATGTGCCAGCGCAAGAGTCTGTGGAAACAGGCCAAGAGGCCACGGAGGCCACTTAAGACTCACACTGCAAGCACTGCAAGCACTGCAAGCAGGCAAAAGAGGCAGACTGCAGGGCGGCCGTTGCCTGCTTGGCAGTTTGCTTGTCACTGTCTCGGTGCTTCTCTAAAGCCAATACTGCACTAAATGTGTGCTTGCCTACTCAGCGCTGTCAAGCAAAACTGCAGTCTACAACATGCTTTCTACAGGCTGCGGAGCCATAGCGATCTCGTCCCGCTCAAAAAAAGTGTAAAGAGTGCAAACACGTGAGAAGACTTACGCGGAGGCTAATGCAGACGCGCTAAAGCACCCAACTCGAGGCCTAAATGTGGTTTCTGCCTCCAAGAAAAAGACCTTTCACAACAGCCCCGAGAAACAACGAGTCGTATCTGCTCAACACCGACATTGCTTGAAAGCCACCAGATCTAGGACAGATCTGTCGGCTTCCACTTCCGATTTGTTTACTTTCATTTATACATCTCCAAGCCCCTTTTTCTGCACTTCTGGAGCTTTCCTAGATATCGGCTGACGCATTCCACGCGAAGCGGACATGTGAAGGATTGATATTTTCAAAATTTTCTCGCCTGCCTCCAAAGATCTTGCGGTAGGTCCTCTGGTCGCTGTCCGCGTGGCTCCGCTGGCTCCGCTCCACATTGCAGTTTGCAGTCTGACCCACCGTGGCCATCGCCACCTTTCGCATTTTCGCACGAGCCTGTGCCTCTTACCGCCACAATTTCCACAGTGGGTGCCACACGGCGCCCTTCATAGCACACTCTGCATGAGGTCTCGAAACCTTCCAACCGTCTTGCACCTGCCGCGCCTGCCGCGTCTGCCTTGCCTGCAGTTGAAGCGTCGCTAATGGCGCGCTGCCTGGCGCGCTGCCGGCAGCATCGGCAGCATCGGCTTGCCCAACAAATTTCTGCCCCTCAGCGCTGACTGTGTAGGCAGTTGTCAACGCAGCCAGATCACCGCAGAGACAATGTCACATGTTGCCTTTCTCAGATGTACCATCCGAAGGAGGTCCATGCTCCCGGCTTTATCACGAGCCAAGCGGCCCTTCGTCCGACTTCCCGTCTAGTTCGCCTGCCACGCCCTTGGCCACGGCGTCAGCAACCCGAGCAACCGCATCTGGCATCTACGACCGCAGTGGTGCCTTTGCCTAACCCTCGCTTAGCTGGCTTAGCCTTCCGTGGTCAGTGCACATTCAAATCTTTGAGGCAACCGCAGCCATTGAGAGCCCTCCCACTTCACAAGGCTTGCCCCCGCCTTCTCCGCCTCCGCCTCCATCGGGTAAGGACCTGAGTGCAGGGAGGGCATCCAAAACACGAGCACCATGCCGAACATGCCGAACTAGGAACGCGGGCTAGTCAGCCACTCCACTTGCCTCACTGATCCAGAAGTTTTAGATGATGCAGCCTGCGTAGAATAGAAGCAGTGCTTGCAGTGCTGGAGCAGAGGCCTACCAAGGCAAGTTGATCCAGAAGCAGAAGCTCTTCCCACAGATGCAGCGCTTGACAGTGCTTGCCTGCCTGGCGTGCCCGGAAGTTCATGCCTAAAAGTCCCGTGTCACACTACGGCCATAGTGCCTGCACGAGCCACGAGCTTGATGCCAGGACGTCAAAGTGCCTGCAGAGGCCAGAGCAGCATTGCTCAACCCCCAAAAGAGCTCCCTCCTTAAGGCCTCAACGGAGGCCTCCACGAAAAGTAGGTCCTGCCTAGCAGTCTAGCGCTCCCGCGGAGCCTACAGAGCTGTGGACAATTTTGCTTGCGCAATGACAGCAGCCTGTGCAGCCTCTGATTTCTGATCGCGCCTGTGCCTTGCCGAGTGTTCTTTGGGCGCCAGCCCAGCTCTGCCTCGGGTTGTCAGCTCCATTAAAGCTCCATTGAAGATAGTTAAAGCTCTTTGCGGGTCGACTGCTTTCCATCTTGTCATGCTCGCAAAATTTGTGCCGTGTCCTGGCTGATGGCCCGGTAGGGTCTCGGCCTCTCGGGAAAAGCCCAGTCACAGCCACGTTCAAACTGCAAAAAGAAGTACGGGCAATGCAGCTGCAGGCAAAGGAAGACTGCAGTTTACTTGGGCAGCGCGCTCATACTGACGAGCTGAGACCCTCGGCTCTGGCTACCTGCTGGAAGTTACACTTGGCTTTAAGCTTTACTTCGAACACCTTCGAACATCCCAAAATGACAGTTCCCGTAACTCATGTGCCGACTCAGCTTGCAAAGAGGAGCGGAGGTTGGAGCGGAGAGGTTTGCTAAAGCTACTAGAGGCCAGACCTTGTCTTCCAGAGACTTCTCACGTCTTCAACATATTCAAGATGCGTAACATGCGTGTCTTCAAATGGTCTTCAACGAAGGGTTTCTCCTTGATCCTTGGTGTCTGCTGCCTGTTCTCAGGACAAAGAGTCGGAGGCCATGAGAATCATAGCCAACCGTTCGCTAAACGTTTGCTAACCTGAAGCATTCAGCTGCAAGCACTGCCCACGCGCCCCTCTAGGCACTCGCTACTCGCTGAGTCCTCGACTTAAAGGTATCAGCTCTCCTTCTCCTTAGCCTTAGCTGGCTTAGCTGGCTTAGCGTTTTAGCAAACCTGAACCCTGGGCTCCCTGGTTAAACGGCGACACAGCACTCCTGGCGTTGCCTACGTCGCGCGTTGCAGCTGCCCCGCCTGCGCCCAAGCCAGGAAGCCAGGGAGGGAGGTGCCTCACCTGAACAGAGCATTTGAGAGTTACTTAAGATTTACTGAGAGCCAATGAAGTGCGTAGCACGCTCGTGCAGCTTCGTCCAGAAACTTCTCGTTCCCACAGCGCGTGGGGAGAGGGCCCTTCCCTTCAGTTGAGTGCGCCCATCCACTTGATCTCGCGTGTGCTCCCAGAACCTTCTGGAGGCTTCAGGCAGGGTCTGCGTCGCAACATTGCCAGGTGCATTTGAACATTTGGACATGTGGCCCGTCGCGAAGACCGCAAAAAGTGACCACAGTTCACACACGTGCATATGAGAGTTTTTGGAGTTACAGTAGTACGTAAAGTGGTTTCACACTGCACTGCCTGCATTGCCTGCATTGCGGCAGCTTTTGGGCTCAAAGGTTGGGTTAGATTTTTCTCGGGGAGTGGGGGAGTTGCTTGATGACAAAAGGGACAAAGGCCCTCCACGCCACCGGGAAGCGAGGCCGAAGGGGAAGCGGCCGGAGCGGCCGGGGCCCTATTCTAGAAGCACGGGACACAGGTGACAGAGGACGAGGGCTAAGGTTTTGCTTAGCTCAGACGGCTGGACTCCTGGACCTAGGCTCCAGCCTGTCGCTCCTCGCGGCTCTGTCTTTTGCTGTTTCGCTCTGCCAGCTCTGCACGCCGAAGACCCGTGCATTTTTTTTGAGAGTTTGTGAAAACAAATCTTCAGAGTCTGGAGACAGCTGAAGGCTCCAGAGGGCGACCTTCGTGGGCGGCTTCAGGGGCTTGGACAGGCCAAAGTCGAAGAGTACCCTCCGCAGAGGCGCAGACAGCATCGCTTCCGAGAGCTTTTTGTTTTTGTGAAAAACTTCTTGAAACTCGCAGTGAAAGTCTTCGACTTTCCCTTCCTCGGTGGTGAGCCGGAGCCGGACTGAACCCACTGCGTGCCACTGCGTGCTAAAGTTGGCTCTTAGTTCTTGCAGGACCCAACGGAGCAGGGAACCAGATCTGCCCGGGAGGCCATTTTCCTCCTTCGGCTCTGGATCGCTCCTCTTTGACTCTCTTCAGGCCGATGAGGACTCCGCACGCGCCAGGCTCCCAGACTGTCGGTTATGAGAAGCTTCCGGGGAGGGAGAATTCGTTATCAAAGAAAAATGTGAAGGATTAAGGGAGGCCTGGTTAGATGCCCGTAGTGATTGTCTGACACTGTGAGGTAAATCATCAAGAGGATTGTACCTAGACGACATCCTACTGAGGCCTCAAGGCTCATTCGTCCCCACACCCCACCACAACATCATCCCTTTTCCTGGAATCTCATTGTGTCTTGAGCCACGCGCATCGGTGTGTCATTCTTGCTTGCAGGGGCCATGCTTGCTACCTTGCATACCAACACTCCTCCTTGGCGCCCTTACCACAGCCTAACCTAGCTTTACAAGATCGCTGTACCTAGACCACCTCAAACTGCAAAACAGCTTGGATGGGCACATGCCTCTTGGTCCTCCGCCCCGTAGAGGCTCCCGAGCCACATTCTGGCATTTCTTGTAACGAGGCATAAACAACTCCTTTGTCCCAGTGGACACAGGTGGTAGCGACCGTCATTAACACCTAAATTCCTTGCAAGGGATTAGTCCTGTCGTAGGTGTTGTCACGATTCATGGGGGGCAACTGTCCAAAAGCATCCAAGCTAGGCAAACATACTGCACCATTCAAATGAAGATAACCACGCTGTCTCAATGCTTGGGCAATCCACCTTGACTGGCTAGTTCGAATACCGTCCTTGGACATGCTAAGCTGAAGGCCGAGGAATGTTAGTTCGTCTTTCCATGGAATCACGCTTCCAGAAGAGTCAGTGATATTACGTTTCTCAACTCCCGGAGGGGCCAACAGGCCCTGACATTTGACCTTCCAGATCGAACTGATATCCTGCATAACCAGCTTCATCACCTCAGGGCCAGCCGCGATCAAACAGTCGTCCACGTACGAAACTACCAGGCCATGAATGGAATTCTCGTCATCAACATCCACGACCTTCCAAACTCCTGCAACGCCCTCTACGCCAACAAACCTCAGCTTCGGCAAATGATTTCCAGCCTCAGGATTCAGAACCCGACCAGTTACCGTACTGTCGCGCAACTGCTCCCATTCTTTAGGGCTCTTTCTACGGCCATAGATGGATTTGTGAGCCCACCAAAGCTCGTCATGATGCGCCAGCCCCAGGCGTACTAGAACTGGCGGGGGTCTCATCACACATGCAGGACCCTCGATGGTAGCATTGAGGAATGCACAGGACACGTCAAGCGCTCCTAAACACCAGTTTTGCCTCTGTGCTGTCTCAGAAATGTGCGCACGTACAACCTCAATGGATGTGAACTCGGTATCCCCTTTGGCTGCCTCAGACTCGAAGTTACCGCATGCGCACAACCGTACCCGAGGAATCCAGGCCCGGGCCACCTCGTCGGCCGCGATTCGGGCACTATGCTTCTCTGTCCCTGCTGCAGTAACGTCCGGCTTTTCAGTCACCACCAACTTCGTTGGGAGCACTTCGGGCCACGGCTCATTTTCCTGAAGACCTAGGGTTGCCCGGAGTTCCGATTTTCGAAACCTTGTAAACACCTCCTGGTTTTCCATGGCTGTGAGTTCGGTTTGCAACGCGGACAACCCATCAGTGATGTTCTCTTCTGCTGGGGCTTGGATGTTTGTGGCTGCTGCTTCTGCTGGAGCTTGGGTACGGGTTGCATCTGTCGGGCAGGATTGGGACTAAACCGCAATCTAGGGTCATTAAGTCAGGGTGGATATCGGGGTCTAAACCGTTACCTGTGGAACCCTGGGTCTGGGGTCTGGCTGATGCTCGCACGGGTTTGGGTTTAAACCCCTATCTACCCTACTTGATCCCTCATCCAAACTTAGGGTGCATTGGGAAAGGAATGTTCAAGGCTTTCATTGATGCGTGCATCTCGGGAGTCAGACGCTTCAGCCCGCCAATCGTGAATGTCGAGATCACATAGCGTTCGCCCTGCCAGGGCTCGGTGCCATGATATACTTTTGGGTCGAAGACAAGAGGGTTTAACCTCCCAGGAAGTTCCAGTCCCGGCTTCACTTGGCGTGTAGTTGTGCCCTCGCTGTCATGGGTCCATAGCTCGCCGCCATCACACGAATGCCGATCGTTCAAGCATACCACGGTATTCCATGTACCTGCATAGTTCCGGCTATCTGTGTGAGGGCTAAACACAGTATTATGGTTCACGACAAGAGTCGTCCACAAACCCGCTGGACATACTTTCTGCATGAGACTTGCCAAAACTCTCGTGAGATGTGGCCTCTCCTTTGCTTGTCTAGACACCCCCACGTTTCCTCGGTGGCACCATGCGCCAAAGAGCCATGAACTCACGTATTCACCGCCGTGATTGATTCCCTTTCGATGATTGACCTGCGGCTTCAGGCTTGACTGTTGCAAAAGATCAAGGACCGATGCATAATCAATCTTTTTGGGACATGTTAACAGCTGCAACGCGCGCTCCTCATCCCTGCGTATCTCATCCCTCCTAGGACAGGGTCTGGACGGGAGGTCTAAACCCCTATCTAGGGTCCTAGGGTCGGGGAATGCACATAAACGGTGTAGCTCATCAACACCCACAGCCTCCGCACATGTGGCACCTTCATGCGTCAGTCGCTCCTCCTCAGCTTGACTTGCCTTGGACGCTGTGTCAGCATTGTCAGCATCTTCTGGCATGGGGATGGCGCAGCATGTGGCTTTACAGTGCTTAGACATTAATGGGCGAAGTGTCTTGAAGACCGAAAAATCCAAATAGGGCAAACCGTTGTGCAGCTTCAGATAGATCTTTTCACAATCTAACTCCATATTTGCACAAGTCTATTCATGCCACAGAGGGTATTCCCTTTTTCGGTACTGAGGACAATTACTTCTCCGCCCCTGGCCCTAAGTGCCTCGACAACATCTCCGTTTGCCAGGGATAAGTCCAAGCGCGTCGCACGGTTCGGAAATTTGGTTTGGGTCGTTACGACTTCATTCGCTCCGGTGTCCAAGAGGACCTCTCCGATGGTCATAACTTGTGAGGTGACTTGCGATGCTCGCGATGACCCGTCCAAATTCTCATTTGGTTGCCACGGAGGCGGGGTTGGGATGGTGGGGCTGAGCATGGGCATGTAGGTCTGTGTGAACTCTACCTCTTCAGACCCTGCTGCGGCACTCACACGGGACCTAGGGTCGGCGGGTTCGGGACTAGAGGTCTCAGGAACCCTAGGGAATGCAGGTTCGGGATTAGAGGTTTCAGGAACCCTAGGGAATGCAGGTTCGGGATTAGAGTCTAAACCACCGGATGCATTGGCCATGTCCGTTTCCCTTGAAGCAGTTGGCTCTGCCTGCGGGTGGGATGAAACATTCATGTGTAAGTAACATGTGGAATGCACATCTTAGGGAGGATGGGTGGGAATTGCTCACCTCAATTCTATAGGCTCTGGGGCCATAGGCCTAGCACAGAGCCCAGGATTGATCATTTAGGCGATAGAGCATGTCGTCTGCGCTGGCTCTGTGAGATTCGGAAACGCCACTTTCAGTGCAACCTGGGCTTCTGTGCATAGCTGCTGTGGGAAACAGTATCTACTTCGCTGGCTTGTGCTCGGGTCATTTCTGACGCATCCGAGCCCAGCTGAACAATCAACAGACAGTGCAACTGCCTTCAGGGCTAAAGGTTCGTATCAATGTCCATTGATCCACCCGAAGCAGACTGGCCATCGTTCAAGACACTGGCTGATGTGATCAAGTTTGCTGTTCAGATCATCCTCGCATTTTCACCCTGCTAAGCGAGCAGGACTTCGCCAAGTTGCTGGAGAAATGGAAAGTGCCAGTTCTGGCAGCGGGGGTAGTCGCACTGCAGACACCACGCCAAGCTGGACAGGGCGCGTTAGTTGGAAGGACGTGTGGTGGTGGGACTTGGGCCTACTCAGGCACCTGCGCCTACTGCTGCTGCACCCGTTTCGGTCCCAGCCCCCAACAGACGCGTGAAGCGCAGCACTATTATAAATCAGACGGATGACATGGAAGTGGACATCCTCGACGATGTGGCGATCACTGCGGCTTACGCGCGGTACTCGAAGAAGATTGGGGCAGCCCCTCCTCCGGACCAAGAACTCAGCTCGGAGCAGCTGACAACCTTGCATGCGCTTTTCCAGAGCGGCAGGGCGCCCTACACGGACATGGCGGTGTGGGGCCCATATCACCATCGGTTGGCCAAGAAGATCAGGCTAAAGGGCGTTCGCTTGAACTCTTTGGGCGAGATCGTGCCGGTGGAAATCAATGGACCTCCCGACTTCGAGGCATGGAGGGAGAGCTATGGGGCTTTCAAAACTGGACGCATTATGTTCGGTCAGATTTCACCTGCGCGTCTGGACTTGTACGAGCACCACATTCGTTCATACCATGAGCGTTATGGGTGCTGGGCTCTTCTTTATCAGGCCGATGTGCGGGCTCGTTTAGAGCTAGCCGAGAGACTGAGGAGGCAGGGCAAGGAAGAGAAGGACGCTGCCGTAGCTGCAGGTGGAACACACGATTTCGATCCCAAGATGCCTTGGGAGTGGGTCTGGAACATGCTGGTCAAGGATCACTCGCTTTGGCGCCGCGAGTTGGAGGAGCCAGCTTTGCTTATCCTTGCCAAGTCCCAGAGACCATCTCAGGTTTTGGGTGCGGATGCGCCCATAGAGATTCCTGGTGGAGCCACGGTGGAGAGGCCTTCTTCCTCTACTACCACCACAAAGCGGAAGCGCGATGACAGCGTCCGACAACATCTTGTCGGAGAAGACGGCCTCTTGACTCATAATCGCCGAGGCGTTGAGTTGTGCCGGGGGCTCGGATGCATGAATTCTACGACAGGGCGCTCCTGCCAAAAAATGAGAGACGGCCTGTGGGTCGACACCTCCATTCCCTCTCTGGCCTGTTCAGGCTAATTGCTGTTTGTTGGAGCCACACATTAGCCACACGTCAAGTAAGTTCACATGTCCGGTCATGTGCGTTGTCAACCATTAGATGAGCCACATGTCACTTCGAGCTGTGAGCCCCAAACGTGACTGCGCCA